TCTCTCTCTCTCTCTCTCTCTCTCTCTCTCTCTTTTTCTCTCTTTCCCTCTCTCTCTCCCTCTCCCTCTCCCTCTCTCTCTCTTGGTGGCTTGATTGAAGACAACACCCATAAGCGGGTATTTGATAACTAACGCTGGCTTCCACGCTTGTGTCGCCATGCCGCTCCCCATATCTTTAAACCAACCGAACCGCATCAGCAGTAGCAGCAAGGCAGGGTTAACGACGAGCGGAGAGAGTTCTGTCCGCAACACGGCTGTTTCCGGGAGCACCGTCGTGGCCGTCCGCCTGCCCTCCCCGGGAAACACCATCGGCTACTCGGAAAACATGTCGCTGACGGCGCCGACGCCCTTTCTCAATGGGATGAGCGAAGAAGACGAGCTTTCGTCTCTGCCGAACTAAGTGTGGTACATACCACCACCACGGATGCTTGCATACACCATGATATATAGATTTGTGCGTTTGTGAAAAACGAGCTAAATGTAACAAACGTCATGTGTGGTTCACTGAGCTTGTTCCGGGACGGAGTCAATTTCTTGGAAACAGTGGGCGTGGAAACGAATATGGCCGAAGCATGCATTCAAACATGAACATCAACGTGAACGTACATGGACATGAAACGTGGACATGAGCATGCGTGCGTCCAAACATGAACATAATGAGCACATCATGAGCACAAGTCAATAAACGGATGAGAACAGAAGTACTACTGTTATAATGTTGCTCGAATACACGAACGAATGAATGCATCATGCACCGAGAAGAGAGGCGACTGCGAGATTAACCTATCACAGACTGGCCTGGGCAATAAAAAATAACACCAGCGAGTGAGAAACATTACGAGAAAACCCATGCTCAAATTGTAGCGCAAGATGACGATTGGGAATGACAATCGCGCTCACGGGAGACATTCATCAACGCAACACACACGAGCCCCAGACAAACGCCGTTGCTTTTGTTGTGTGTGCATCCAGTACACAGGACACCTCTTGCGATTGTCAGGAACACACTGGCAAGATATGACGCAGTGTTTTCGTACATGCTTGGCTCTGGCTGCAACGTCAGGGTCGTCTTCACCCCTTTCTCGCATCGGCACCTCGCCTTCATCCCATTGTTGCACCGATGGATCCCGTATGTACGTGCACATCTGTGCAGTATAAACCTCCCTTCCTTTGTGTACGAAGCAAGCTGTGTGTGTGTCAGGTATTGTGTCGTCCGTAGACTACAGCAACGGACGCCAAACAAACGTACATTGCTGGAGGAATAAATGAAGCCGTACACGCGCTAATAGGATACGTCAGAGGAAGGAGGAGGCGTTGGAGTCGTTGCGCGCAGTATCGCTATCTGCATCGCCAGTTTTCCCGAGTTAGCAACGATTCGTCCTTCCTTGCTGGTGTGAATAAAATCCTCTATCTCGGTGCCGCTGTCACAAGAGCGACTGTTGAAGGAGTGGAGCGAACAAGGCTGATGATTGTACATTGTGTAGACAACATAGAGGAGTTATTTTGTTCGACGGTCGAAACAAACTCTTCCCCATGCATCCACCGGTAAAAGAAGTCCAATAGACCAAAAGGGCAAGAAAAAGAAAACCATCGATGGATGCCGTGAGAAAAGAGCGAACCGGCATTCTTGCCGCTAACCGCATGGTGGTGTGACGATATCGACGGGAGAAAGACAATGTCAGGAAAATCGTGCGTCGAGACCACCAGTAGTAGTCGGACACGGTTTGACCTTTGAATGCGATTGCAGCAACAAGTCTACGTAGCAGTAGAAAATAATCCATCTCTCCGTGGCATGTATTCTCTTGTTCTAGAAATATTCCGGAAGCATGCTAGGTCAAGGCTGACCGGGACACCTACGTAGAACGTGTGTAGCTTCTGGAAGCCTTCTGGAAACTTCTGAAGCCTTCTGAAAACTTCTGGTTCCTTCTGTAAGCTTCTGGAAGCGTTCGTAGATTTAGGTTGCAGTTGATACTCTNTTGACCGGGACATCTACGTAGAACGTGTGTAGCTTCTGGAAGCCTTCTGGAAACTTCTGAAGCCTTCTGAAAACTTCTGGTTCCTTCTGTAAGCTTCTGGAAGCGTTCGTAGATTTAGGTTGCAGTTGATACTCTTCTAGAACGTAGGAAGGCTTCCAGAAATCATTCTGGCAGCATTCTGGACCTTTCGTGTGATTGACTTAGTTGTCCGGTATTCGAGAAGAGTGGCGCAGCCATAAGCTCGCCTATCCCTCTCACTCCTCTTCAGTATCAGCAACTAATAAAAGCATCTTCACATTTCCATTCCAAGTCTCTCGCGGTTGGAGACGCACAGAGTGTGAACCTCTGAGGTAGGCTACACAGTACAGCCTCCTGGCATCTGCAGCATCGTACTGCTGCTAGTGCACAGCGAAATATCTCTGAAAGGTTATGAGCCTCGGCTAATGCACACACTACGAGCTGCGAACATCACGGGAAGATCAAGGCAACCTCTTCTCGGGACATCAACCTTCATCCGTGGACAACGAGAGAACCTGGTTTCGAAGATTTCTGGAGATTGCGACGCCGTCATCGGTTAACGGCAACACAAGCAAACGCGCAAACTTGGTCATCTACACCAAGGTGCTGAGGGTTCACGTCGTATACACACGTTACCACCCCTGTGGCAGTAGCGGGTATCTCTGTGGTGAACTAGCAGCAAGGGTCACGTGCGCGGGAGTCTCGAGCGGCATACGCATCGGGTGTACAAGGAACTACACTGTATCATCAGTGGAGGCGATCAACAACCGGAGTCCTCTTTATCAGTAGCAGGAGCGGGATCGGAAACAAGAAAACCACAACCGGAGTCCTCTATATCAGTAGCAGGAACGGGGTGGGGAAGTCTCGGGTACAGGCAGTAGTACCACGAGCAAACTTACTCCTACAGCAGGAAGTACTTTTATCAAGACGAAGAAAATAAAGCTGGAACGAGCAATGGATACTGCAACGAGCAACACAGGAGGTGGAAGCGCGTTCGCCAGCGATAGTTCTACGAACCTGGCAACCGTGATCAAAGGCCTCAAGAAATTCGACGGAAAGGACCCAGCTGAGTTCAAGACATGGATGAAGAAATTCTGCGTGGTGTTAGGTGTGACCAGGAAGGACATCCTGCCACTGCTGAAGAAACAAAGGAAGCCAGATCCCGCAGACACAGCGGCCTTCGACTCCTACACAAGGGCAAACGAAGATCTCTACGCCATTCTTTTCCTCCTAGTGGAACTTCCAGCCGCCTTGTCGATACAGAAGCACGAAGACGACACGGGCATCAGCGGCGACGGACAAGCTGCCTTCGAGGAGCTCTGCAACAACTATGACAGGGTAACGGACGAGGTCATCAGGGCCAAGATGGAGGAGCTGGAGAACAACCCCATGAACCCTGGTGAAAATCCCGACGACTACTTCAACCAGAAGCACCTACTTCGCACCCAGCTGGATAAGATGGGAGAACCCATCTCCGACCGCCGCTTCAAGGACATCTGCGTACAGGGCTTCTCCGACGAATACAAGGACGTCAAACTGATGGTGTTCAGAGACCCAACCTTCAACGTCCTGGACATGCAATCCACCATGCGCAACATCTTCTTGGACGAACAATCGCGCAAGGGATGGAAGGGACGCATAGCTGGTCGAGGATTTGCCATGGCAACGACCGCGTCTGACATCATCTGCCACAGCTGCTACGAGCCGGGGCACATCAGGAGGAACTGCCCCAAGATCAAGAACAGGGCGAAGAAGAAAACGAAGCCCGCCGGAGCTACCAAGTGGTGCTCCAAGCACAACACCACGTCTCACTCGGACGAGGAATGCTACCAGCAAGGAGGAAAGCGCCCGGAAGACACCAAGGACTCAAGTAAAGCATTCACCGCGTGCTCCAACTGCACTCACTGCTCGTCGGCGTCCAACAAGCACGACTCAAACAATGAAGTGGCAGTTGTCGACTTCACCCGGGACGAGGACGCCTTTGACAGCGGCTTCATGTTCGGCACGTGTTCCCGCATCTCAGGACGCAACTTCGCCGCGAGCTCCACCGGGGTAGGCCTGCTGGTAGACACGGGAGCATCGGAGACCATGTTTGACAATCGCCTCATCCCCGACGGAAACCTCCACGATTACACCCAGCGAAACTCTCCAAAGATCGTGGACGTGGCCGGAGAAAGACAACTCAAAGGCACGGCCACGGGCATCCTACACTGCACCGTCAAGGACAATCGAGGACAGCAATTGCGCGTGCGGATTCAGGGACTCATCGTTCCGGGACTTGGTCGCAACATTTTTTCGCCCACCTCCCTCCTGAAAAAGGGATTGCGCTGCGTCGTCGAAGAGAGCACTCCGCACCTCACTATCCAAGGCAAGGTGATTCCACTCACACAAGATCCGCGAGACCAAGGCATGTGCACCCTCGACATCACGTTCGAGCAGAACGTCCAGCCATCTGGCACGAAATCCCTCGTGCCCCACCAGAAGCAGTCACAGACCCACACGGCGAACGCCGTCTGCTTTACGCTAGTGAGCGCGGACACCTGGCACAGGAGGCTTGGACATCTCAATGCTCGGAGCCTGGACATCCTTCGGAAGGACACGGGTACCGGGGTGGACTATCGCGACAGTCTCTCCCCTTGCGGGGTCTGCCAGATCGCGAAACACAAGCAGTCCCCCCACCCGAAGCAATCGACTCGCGAACTATCACGGCCTGGACAGCTTGTGGTCATCGACAACATGGGGCCTGTTAATCCACCTGCGAAATATAAAGGAGGCTCCTTCCCGTACGCGTGCAAGATCACCGACGACTACACGAAGATGAAAGAAGTTTACCTGCTTCGCAAGAAATCTGACACGACCGAGGCGGTGCACACGTACAACATGTGCGTCGCAGCGGCAGGAGGCTACCGGATCGAGACCATCCGCTGCGACAAGGGAGGCGAGAACACCGGATCCGAATTTCGGGACTACTGCAAGAATTCAGCTATCAAGCTCGAATACGCCGCCACCAACACCCCTCAACAAATTGGTGTATCGGAACGGGACGGACAAACCCTGGCCGGAGTCACCCGGTGTCTTCTGAAGGATGGAGATTTTCCGCCGTCCATGTGGAGGGAGTTAATGCTGACTGCAGCATACCTGTTGAACAGGTCCCCACACTCAGCACTGGGAGGAGCTACGCCATACTCGAAGTTGCACAATAAGTCACCTGATCTCTCGGGACTTCGGGTCATTGGAGCGCGCGCCTTCGTACACCACGAGAGATACCGAAAGAAGCTGGACGACAGAGCTTTCGAAGGCAAGCTATGTGGTTTCGGCCTCGACAGCCAGACCTACCGGGTATTGAATCCATCCAACGGGGCCGTGGTCGAGAGCCGGAATGTGACTTTCATCGAATCTCCACCCCGCTCAGTGCCCTTCCAGTATTCCACTGAAGCAAACGGGTACGAGAGCGACGTGCTGAGCTTCACCTCCCTGCTGGACAGCCCCCACTCGACGAGCGACCTGGACTTCACGGCGCAGAACGACCTCCTTCGGCAAGAAGTCTGGAAGATGCAGCAAGACAATCTCGCTCGGGAGAAGCTTCGCCTAGAACTGGACGGGCACGAGGACGAACATGGAAACGGGCAAGATCTCGGCGACGGGGACGCTCCATCACCACATCTCCCATCGACGCCAGCTGGACCATCATCCGAGCCCCACGCATCTAGCCCCAGTCCATCATCGTCGAACCCGCCTGAACCGGACACTTCTGCATCAACTGGATCCTCCGGCATGCGGCGCCTGCAAGTCACCAGAGCCAGCACGCGCGGGAAGCCCACCAGCGACGATCATATCGACGTCAACTTGGTTCCTGCCAATCTGGAAGTCACCATGAACGACCGCGGTCGAGCCCATGCTACAACGGGCCGCGTGGAGCCATCCGGTCTTTCCTTCCCTCAGCTGGCTGAGATAGCCGATCAAGCCCAGCTCTCATGCCCTGGCGANGTGTACAAACTAGAACAGAGCCTCTACGGCCTATCGCACTCGCCTGCGCTCTGGAACGACACCCTGGACGAATCCCTCACGGTGTTCGGATGGAAAAGGACTCAATCCGACCCCTGCGTGTACGTGTATACCAGCGGCAACATCATCGTGATTCTCACGGTCTACGTAGACGACATTCTCATCACAGGAGGAGACCAGCAGCTCGTGGACCAGAAGAAGAAGGAGCTCACGGATCGATTCGAGATGACCGACATGGGAGAGGTAAAGCGGATCCTCGGGATCGACGTGCAGCGGGACTACGAGCAAGGAACCCTGGCCATTTCACAGGAGCACTACGTGAACACACTTCTGGAGCGGTTCGGAATGCAAGAGGCCAACCCAGTGAGCACTCCTGGATACGGAGCGGAAATCTCCACGAATCAACCTCAGGACCAAATCCTAGGACCCACGGACAAGAAAATCCACCAGTCGATGACAGGAAACATCCTCTACCTGGCCCAGTGCACGCGATTCGACCTCTCCTACGCTGCCNATCGGAAATCTTCACGAATCAACCTCAGGACCAAATCCTAGGACCCACGGACAAGAAAATTTACCAGTCGATGACGGGAAGCATCCTCTACCTGGCCCAGTGCACGCGATTCGACCTCTCCTACGCTGCCCTACAACTTTCCAAGGCCTGCAGCAACCCAGCGCAGGTGAACATGACAGCAGCCAAGCACGTTCTGCGATACCTTCGGGGTAATCCGGTTCTTCCTATCGTCTACAAGAGAGGACAGTTTCGGCTAGCGGCGTTTACGGATTCATCCTTCGGAGCAAGCCCCGACAACGAAAGATCCACCACGGGATATCTCTTCTTTCTGGCTGGAGGACTCATCAGCTACGTTGCGAAGATTCGAACTCTAACCGCGCAAAGCACGGTCGAAGCCGAGATTCAAGCACTTTGCTACTCAGCCAGAGAGGCGGTCTACATCTCACATTTTATGACGGAACTCAACTTCAAGACCTTCGGATCGGTTCCCATCAAGAGCGACAGCACCGGAGCGCTGACAGTGGCCGGGAATGCCATGCACTCTCAACGCACGAAGCACGTGGCCCTGAGGTACTTTTTCATCCGGGAGCTAGTACT